TTTTCTTGATACATATTTACACTTGGTGAAATTCCTGATTTTTAGCGTGCAGCTTTGTGACATCTATAGTTTGTAAGCACCATATCACTAAAGATCCTGCATGCTCTTTTTTAAATAAAATTCCTCCCCCAAAAAATGTTTACCTTGTTCATCTCCACAAGCAAATAGAACTAAACGAATACTTCACAAATGAATGAATATGTAAGGGACAAAATGTGCACACTGTTAAAAATTCCTTGATGGTTGGTGCTTGAGAGGTAAAAAAAATATCCTTGGCTGGCTCAGATTTCAGTTGTCCTCCTAGGCTTATAAAAGACAGTAGACTACCTTTTAAAGTCAAAGATAGAATTTGTTCAATAAATTAAAAAGGCATCAGAAAATTCAGTATTTTAGAAAAAATGTACCAATTAAATTTTTTAGTTATTGTTAAATTAGAGTCTGAATCTCACCTTTAAGCTACTTTAATTAAAATTTTATCTGAAGTTCTAGGTAAATGAGAAATTCCACACAAATGAAGTTTTCAGATATTTGAAATGTTATTCGACCTTTAAGAATGATACTTTATATCATTTTGAAAGGAAATATTTTTTAAAATGCATGTTACAGCCCAGACTGTGTGCTCAGTGGTTGAGCATTGACCCATGAATCAGGAGGAGACCAGTTTGATTCCTGGTCTGAGAACATGCCTGGGTTTTGGGCTTGATCCCCAATAAGGGGCGTGTATGAGGAAGCCAAATCAATAATTCTCTCTTATCATTGATGTTTCTATCTCTCTCTCTCTCTTCCTTCCTCTCTCTGAAACAAATAAAAATATATTAAAAATAAATAAAATGGATGTCACATATTCCTGCTATACAAAAAAGCTGAAGATGATTTAATCTTTCAAGTGTGGGAATCACCACTATGACATCAATTATTATATCACATATCGTTGTGGAAGGCTGAGTAATATGAGAGCTATAAGTCTCTATTCTGAGTAGACCTACATACCTATACTTTTTAATTCCTGTTTTTTTCAGTTGACTCTGTCTGCCATTATTAAAGTGCTTGGCCAATTTTTAATTTGTTATTCTCCTCTGGACTTGGCAGGGAAACATGTGTATTAAAACTGTCTCAAGAGTGAATTTATCACTGAACATTCTTTTGTAATATTTAGATTTACCACCATGTGCAAATGTTATTTTCACTAAGGAGGGGAAGAGATAGTTTTTGTGTGTGCATACAGCAAAAAAGATCTGGAGTAGGGACTTACAAACTGCCTTCTATCTAATACGAATGAGGTTTTAGAGCATGATTTAGTTATTTGCCAACTAAGATATTTGTCTACCCTTTTATTTATCTCTTTATTATTCTGCTTTCTTTGATTCTCAACTACGCTTCTAATAATTCGGGGTTGCCAAATAAGTGGTTGTAATAATTAGTTATGCTCCTTAGCCATTAAACTAAAAAAATTGAGAATAATCTAAGTACTGCCCTAGCTGGTTTGGCTCAGTGGATAAAGCGCTGGCCTGCGGACTGAGGGGTTCTAGGTTCGATTCTGGTCGGGGGCACACACCTGGGTTGTGGGCTTGGTCCCTGATTGGGGGTGTGCAGGAAGTGGCCAATCAGTGATTCTCTCTCATCACTGATGTTTCTCTCTCTCTGCCTTCCTCTTGGAAATCAATTAAAATATGTATATCTACACTAATAAAAGAGAAACATGGTAATTGGCGTACGACCGCTACCCTTCCCATTGGCTAATCCCCCTGTCACTCACAGAGTAGGGCCGAGATATGCAAATTAACTGGCAGCCAAGATGGCGGCCGGCAGCCAGGCAGCTGATGCGAACAGGGAGGCTTGCTTGCTTCAGTGACTGAGAACTCCAACGTTCCCCACCTGACTTGCCGGCCTCTCAGCTGCAACTCTAAGCAACTATGTTGCGAATAAAGAAGCTAAAAAACCCCCAGAAACCTGCTTTTCTCAGCGGAGCTTCAGCCCGCT